TCCCTCGGGACTTCCTTGCTCTGCTCCCCTTGCTGTTTTGTTGCACGCCCTTAGTATTTTGCCCTGGTGTGGTGGGGTCAGATCAGGTGTCTTTCTTAGATTTTATATGTTAAGCCTGCATCCCCAAATTCAGTCCTAAATTTGAGGACATGATACTTCATAGTTTTCTGATCCTGCGGTAGCTTCTACCAGTGTTTTTTACATAGACAGCATGTTTTCAAACATTTGAAAGGTAAACTTTCTTCCTGTTGCCCTAATATCATGTCCATGCCCTGGAATGATCAAAGCTTAATTAACAACCACTCCAGGTGCAACACAGAAAGAGGAGAAATTGTTTATTAGGAGGTTTTTCATCGAAGCATGCAACACAACCAAGCTGCTTGTTACTGTTGTTGTGAGATGCCATCAAGTCTGTCCAGCCCAAAGCAACCTTGTGCACAACAGGACAAAGTGTGCCTGCGCCCATTTGCATACCGTTCCGTGAGGCCCTTCCTCTCCTTTACTAAGCATGATGTCCTTCCCCAGGGACTGATTTTTCCTGACAACCTGTCCAGAGTATGTAAGATGAAGTCCCGCCTTAGCAGGACCTTAAATTATCCCAATTTCCAAGTGATCGTGATACTAATTTCTTATAGCAAAATTAATCAGTGTAGGTGGGCTACTAAAACACATAACAGGCCACAAAAAGTCGTAAAAGAGTAAGAACAAAAAACACAATGAGTACATAAAAGAATTCTATCATTTATTATCTTGACCTCTCCTTTCCAACTGACAGCTCCTCATCAATCTTACACAATGACCGAGAAAGCTGGAGAGGTCAGTTTGACTCCCAGCAGGGTTCAAATAGCAGTTAATATTCCAAGCACAGGTTGAGCTCAGGGAAAGAGTTAAACATAGAAGAGCAGCTGTATAGGAACTTCATTATACTTAACCATGGCTGATGCAAATACAAATGGCTACAGTCTTGTTCTCAAGTCTTGCTCACAGTCCCATCACAGAAGTGATTTGAACATCATGTAAAGTTCTTTCTAGACTAGGGACACCCCCCAATATTTAATCCCATTTTAGTCTTTCAGGAATATGTGCTGGGTCTTTTAAAGTCCTGGGAAAATTCCATTATTTTGCGCTTCCATTTTTCCTTGAACTTTGTGAAGCCCCTATGTGTTTTACTAAACCTGCTCTTGAATGCATTTAACAAAACTTAACTTTATGAACTGATTGTCCTGTGATATAATCAGATGGCTGCATTAATTTTAAACTATAGTGCTGACGACAGTGGGTTGAAAAATAATTATGCTCTTTGGGAAAAGTTGTCCTTGGTCAGGAAAATCATTTATTAAGGAAAGCCAATTTCTGTTATGTTATTTTAAAAAATAAATGTGCTATCCTCAAAGAAAATAAGTGTACTTTGAGTGCTAAGGCCAGAGATTATTTCAGTAGACCAGTTGTCGGATCTTCCTTGTTTACTTGCTTCTTCAAACATTTGAAAAAGGAAACTTTTTTTTTTTTTTGCGGCTGTTGCTACTGTTTTCATGAATTTCAACTCTGCTCCTGTTTCAGTGGAATTATCAGACATATTTTATGCTGTTTCTAGCATAGTGTTAATTTCTCTTCGTACTTCAGCAAATACCAAGCATTTTCTCCTTGAAGAGGCAGTTGTAGGCATTTCTGTAGTTTCATCAGAGTAAGTTCCTTTTGTTTATCTTCTCTGGGACTGCAATGAGTAAGATGCTGTGAAACCTGTGACGATGCATGTGTTCACAGTGGATGCTCAGGAGTAAGTTTACTGATGCTCAGTGTGCTGCATTTGGGAATCCTGTCTCACAAACTAACATGTGCCTGTCAGTTTGTCATATTGTGATGGCTTGTGTGCCATTGTGATGCTGGGAACTGTGTCACTGGTATTTCAAATACCAGCAGGGGCCCCAAAGTGTGATGCATTGGATACTAATCACAGAGGACCTAATGACATCAAGAAGAACATACAGCAAGAAAGCAAAAGGTCATTAAAAAGACAGGAAAGAGATAAAAGATCAACGTGGATATCAGAAGAGGCTCTGAAACTTGCTCTTAATCACAGAGTAGCTAAGGCAAATAAAGAAATGATGAAGTAAAATAACTGAACCGAAAATTCCAAAGGGCGCAACAAATGTACAAATGTGCTTAACACAATGGATGGATGTGTGGATTGTGATAAGAGTTCTACGAGCCCCAAATAAAATGATTAAATTTAAAAAAAATTCTAAAGGGCAGCTTGAGAAGATAAAGTTGAGTATTACAATGAAACGTGCAAAGATCTATCCTGCTGTATCAGACACATTTTATACCATTTCTAGTATAACATTAATTTTTTTTCATACTTTAGCAAATACCAAGCATTTTCTCTTCCAAGAGAAGGTTGTGATCATACGAGTAGTTTCAACAGAACAAGTTCCGTTTGTTTATCTTTTCTGGGCTAGAAAACCAAGAAGGAAGGACATGCTGAAGGAAAAACTTCAAGCCGTAAGTTGCAATATTGAAAGATTCCCTGGACATAATGTTGAATGATACAGGAAGCATCAGAAGAAGATGAAAAGAATACACAGAGTCACTGTCTCAAAAAGAACTAGTTGGCATTCATCCATTTCAAGAGGTAGCATGTGATCAGGAACCATTGGTACTGAAGGAAGAAGTCCAAGCCGCACTGAAGGTATGAACCAAAAACAAGGCTCCAAGAATTGGTGTGATAACAACCGAAATGTTTCAGTAAGCTGAGGAAGCACTCATCTATGCCAAG